TAGAGGCGACTTGAGGGCCTTCTAAAAACGACCTGCGACCTGTAAAATTTTGAAAAAACGACCTCCGACTTCACCCACGCTAAAAACGACCTTGCCATTTTGGAATCATGTTTTAAATTTTCAAAGCCATCAACAACAAAAACTACAAAAGATTCGATAATCCGGAAACTTGACAAGTCAGAGTATACTTCAATGAGCGAAGAAGATTGTGACCATTTTCATTCAAATGAAAATGACTTCAACATTCTTCTTGATTAGTGTCAATTGGTTCGCCCTGAAGAAGAATCCGACGAAGACGAAAATGAGATTGACAATGTTGACCGAGTTGTTCCTCAGAGAATTGTGTTGGGAAAACAACGTGCTTCCCACCAGTAGAACTAGATCGGGAAGAACAATCGGCTGGCGTCATGACCGATTAGGATGGTAGATCTGATAAAATAAAATGCCCAAAATCACACGTCTGTTATTAAACATAAACTGCTGACTGTTGGTCAGCCGTACTGTTTTTCCGGCCATCTGTCACACTTTTGTCTACACGCAGTAGAGAAGTATTACATGGTTAGGTATCAGTCCGTACTTCCATCTGTCTGACCGTCCCATGGCGGATCAAAGATTTATTTCATTTGTTCCCAATTGTTTAGCACTATAAAGTACAAGTTAAGTTCGATTTTCATCTTAAGTCAACATGCAGTTTTCAAATAATCAATTTTGAACTATTTGTGACCCTTTTTTGTATCTATAGTCGGTTTGGTATGATTGCCAATGAGACAACTCTCCACAAGAGACCAAATGACACAGAAATTAACAACTATAGGTCACCGTACGGCCTTCAACAATGAGCAAAGCCCATACCGCACAGTCAGCTATAAAAGGCTCCAAAATGACAAAGTAAAACAATTCAAACGAGAAAACTAACTGCCTAATTCATGTACAAAAAATGAACGAAAAACAAATATGTAACACATAAACAAACGACAACCACTGAATTACAGGCTCCTGACTTGGGACAGGCACATACATACAGAATGTGGCGGGGTTAAACATGTTAGCGGGATCCCAACCCTCCCCCTAACCTTGGGCAGTGGTGTAACAGTACAACATAAGAACGAACTATAAAAATCAGTTGAAAGAGGCTTAACTCATCAGATGGATAAAAATACAAATACTACAAATACAAGTGGACGTAGCCGGGTATTTGTATATCCAAACAACAGAAAGACACTAAGTACAGATCTGAGAGTACTCGCAGTTACTGACAGCTAGTTCAAAGCCACTAACAACTAATAAAAAAAATCATGCATCTAATACTAAATTATCAATCCGTATACATTAGTGTAAAGACGTCATAAACAGTCAGAGAAAAACATGACCTTGTCTTCGTTTCTTTTTTTCTAGAACCTGATAAGCTATCAAATTATCAAGTTATGATCATTTTTGGACCATTTTTGTTTCTTAAAATATTTAAGTTGGTCTGGGTTATTGCTTCAAATACACTATGGACACTATGGGCGATGGTCATCACTAGCGCATAGGGCACTAGCTACTAGCGTCTCTGTGTGTACTCCAAAGAGACAAATGTATCCAAGTAAGGTTGATGATCAATTTCGTGTTTTATGTCCCGACAACATTGTTGCGGTAAATATAGTTTTTCGGTCTGTTCGTCCATCCGTTTGTTCGTCAGTTACACTTTGGTTTACCTTTGCGTTTAAGATGATTTCCTAAAAAAGTTTCAAGTCGAATCTTCATGAAATTTTGTGCCGTACTCTTTATTTATCATGATATGGACTAACAACTGTGTAAAAATGGGGGAGTTCCATCGAAAATGGAAATAAGCGCCGAGCGGGACATCCCTGTCTTCAAGACATTTCCTTGTTGCCATCAGTCTATATATCGTGTTCAAAGTATCTCTGTAGGTAAATCCAGCTCTACATCCCCGGTGATTTTATAAGAGTTCTGGGACTTGCTCAATATGAATAGTGTGTTGGATTAGTGAAATACTGAATATTTGGTTGAAACTACTGTTTTGAATAATCGAAAAGTTCAAGTCCTCTTTTGGTCTCAATATGGAAAAGAACGGATATGGGTTAATGGCACGAAGACATCACATATTGATCATTGAATTCCACACAAAAATAAATCTAGAGCTGACGACACGAACTTCAATAAAACAGGAACTTCCCACTTACAGACAGCCATCTCTGGATGGCATCAAACAAAATAAGAACAACCGAACCCAAGGGCACAGCAAAATGTCCAAATATCTAATTTAAAACTAAAAGGTTTAATCAGGAACATATATGTCCCTGGTTTAATAACACAAGAATTGACACAACAATGATTAATGGATCCTTTAAATATAAAAACGACTTCCGACCTCTATGTTGGTAAAAAACGACCTGCGACCTGTACATTTCCCTTAAAACGACCTCGAGACCTTGCGACAAATTTAAAAGCGACCTTGCGACCTGAGGGGGGTACCCTGTGGGAGCCCCTTTATTTTGTATCCGCACCCTAATTGCAATTGATTCTTAATTCCCGTAAATACTTTGAGTTGTCTTCCTTAGAATACAATATACGCATGCACAGAAAAGGGTAGTATACCATAATAATATTTTCCCGCACCTGATTTTAAGAAAAATATATTTTTAATGAAAAATAAATAATCCCGCATTCCGAAAAATACTTCCCGCATGCCGCACCGATTTTATGATTTTGAAGAAAAAAATTCTGGTATATAAATACTTTTTTTCGAAAGGATATAATGGCACGTTTTAGCCGGGAACCATTTCGGTTTTAATGATTGCGGGTCAAACGTTGCAATATTCACAAAAAATCAAATATATGTTCATAAAAACAAAATATATATTCAAAATATCATATTTATGTCCATAAAAACAAAAATCATTTATTTTGTTTTTATGAACATACAATGTATATCTGATTTTTTAAATATATTTTTTTGTTTTTATGAACATATATCTGATTTTTTTAATATATTTTTTTGTTTTTATGAACATATATATGATTTTATGCAACGTTTGACACGTTATATACTAGATAGGGGAAACGGTAATATCTTCAGTATTTGTGCTATATCTGCACATCTCAAGTACAGATCATCTCTAATAATACTGAAGCTCGTTGTATAAATGGCACATTTAAATATCAGTTTCATTAGTCTTTAAGTGAAAGAAAATTATATCACTCGACGCGTACTCCAAAATAACTCAGCCCGTATCCAGCCGTCATTGGATCAACTACCAATTTTCCGTTACTTAATCTAAAGGAAGATTGGTGATTGTATTGTTTGTGCCTCAAAATGAAAATAGAATCAGGTCATTGGTTGAATTTCCGTTGTTCTTTTACCTTTTAACCAATCACAATGTTTTGTCAAAATATTACCAAGAATATTCCTTGACGGTTTATTACAGGTGTTGAACTCTCCGTTTTAACAGAATATGGTTGTATTTGGTTTTTGTGAGAGAGTTTTTAAAACGTGTACTGATTTTTATGATTTTTCAATGATAGTTTGTTCTTATGTTGTACTGTTACACCACTGTCCCAGGTTAGGAAGAGGATTGGCGCCTTCAAACGAGTTTAATCCCGCAACATTCTGTATGTGCCTGCCCAAGTCAGGAGCCTGTAATTCAGTGGTTGTCGTTTGTTGCTGTGTAACATATTTGTTTTTTGTTCATTATTTTGTACATAAATTAGGCCGTTAGTTTTCTCGTTTGAGTTGTTTTACATTTGTCATTTCGTTTTTTTTTTATAGCTGACTATGCGGTGTGGGCTTTGCTCATTGTTGAAGGCCGTACGGTGACCTAGAGCTGGTCTATTGTGGAGAGTTGTCTCATTTTCAATCATACCACATCTTCTAATTTTTATACCTCAGACATAGAAGTTATAGTACATCAATTAGCACTATTATTCCACCACGTTGTACCTACATCTAATGTGAGGCTTTTATTATATTTGCATGGCCTTTTACTTACTCTTGGTATTGCATGAAGCTGCATGATGTTTATGTGATAGTTGGTTAAAGAGGTAATCAGAACTCATATTTTAATTGTGGCTGTGTACCTTTATGCGGACTTTATTGATGATCTGCTAGTACAGGATGAAGACTATATCATTTGTAACACCATTATGCTCAAGTTGTCGAAAGAGGGATAAAGAGACTAAAACTTTGCAGCATCGCAAACTTTTCATATTTTCATCTTCTTCTCTGAAACTACAAGGCCAAATGAAATGTAACTGTAGAAATAGAAATGATATACAAGAAATGTTCATTTCATGATAATTGACAACTATTATGGACATGTTACCAGATGAGAGACACAGGCTGGTATGAGCCTCTTCTACACAAAAACAATATGCGCTCTCAACAAATGTGTTCTTGTTCTTTGAAAGGAACATGCTCGTTCGCTCCTACAAATTGTTCCAACCTCTAAAACAATGATTTGCATAACATAATAAAATAAAATTCGCCCCAATTTTTTGTTTACTACACATTCAAAAGAACTGGAAATTATTTTGGTGTGGTCAAAGCTTATAAGGTGAATAATCAAATGTTTTACATCTTAGGAAAAAATTGAAAGGTTAAACTATCTGATCTACGTTAGTAAGTTTAGGTTGTCACAGGAACCTCGTTAGAGGTTTTATTTAGTTACATTTCTATTTATTTTGTCATTTAGGAAATGGAGTTTTGGATGAGATCTCTGGTAGTCTCTGTTGATATATTCACACCTATTTTAGACCTAGAGTGACGAAAAGCTTTCCATATTGCGTAGAATGTACGTATGACTGGTGTATATAAATGGTGATTCAATAAACAAAGACCTAGACACCTTTGTGTTCTATTTTTACTTTAGACAATCTAATGGGTGCAAGTGAGACAATACTTTTCTGTATAGGTGAAAAACAGGTAACAAGAATAAATGGTGTAAGATTAGAATGTGACTTTTTAATAAATACAACTCGTATGATAATAAAAAAATCAATTGTAGTTGGTCATTCTATATTCTAATGCATGTACACATGTTATCGACACAGTGACGTCTATCTTTAGGACAGTTCCACGTATCACCCAGGTTCAAACAATCCTGCATTGTCATGCATTCTGAAAAGAAGTTAATACAGATATAGTTGACGACCTTGCTTCATTTTTAATGTGAAGTGTGTAGGTACTTGCTCATTTTTGTGTCTGATCAATCATACAATTGACTATACACAAGGGACTATACAGATTTACGAGAAAACATTATGGTAGTTTTGCGGGCATCGATTTCATTTGTATAGGTTGTTTTATTTACTTTGTTTTCATTTAGCAGTGTACGTTAAGAACACCACACTTTTCAAATAAACGACAAATGCAAAACAATGTCCTATTTGATAATTCTAATTAGGTAAAAAATATAACAGCGTCAAATTTATGGAACAATTTAAGATTTCCGTAAATGATAACATCTCCAGAATTCTCCATCATGGCATACAATAACACATATTTCTGTCTTTTCCATACTTTTGATGAACTCCGTTGTGTACACAGAAATCATAGTATTGCTCTTTAGAAATTTTTTTCGCAATTAGTGTTTATAACTGCGCAAGGTTAAGATACAAATATGTTTAAAAATACCAGCGTAAGTCAGAAATTATGAAATGTAAAAGTACATACAACCTAATGGCCAACGGAAAATAGTTTAAATAAAAATACAAGCAATTCAGGCGCTCCCAAAGGATAAACACTTCGAATAAACTCATCAACACCGTGACATAGTGTTGTACATGTGCTCCTGGGGGATAAATACTTCGGATAACCCCATTAACACCGTGACACATTCAGGTGCTCCCGATGTATAAACAGTTCGAATAACTTCATAAACACTTTGACACACTTAGGTGCTCCCGATGGATAAACACTTCTAATATACTCATCAACACCGTGACACACTGATGTGCTCCTGGAGGATAAATACTTCGAATAACCCCATAAACACCGTGATACACTTAGGTGCTACCGATGGATACACACTTCGAATAAACTCATCAACACCGTGACCAACTGATGTGCTCCTGAAGGATAAACACTTTGAATAACAACATAAACACCGTGACACACTTAGGTGCTACCGATGGATACACACTTCGAATAAACTCATCAACACCGTTACAAACTGATGTGCACCTGAAGGATAAACACTTTGAATAACAACATAAACACCGTGACACACTTAGGTGCTCCCGAAAGATAAACACTTCATATAAACTCATCAACACCGTGACACAATGATGTGCTCCTGAAGGATAAATACTTCGAATAACCCCATAAAAACCATGACACATTCAGTTGCTCCCGAAGGATAAAACCTTCGAATAACCTCATAAAAACCGTGACATACTCAGTTGTTCCCAAAGGAAAAAATCTTCGAATATCTTCATAAAAACCGTGACACACTCAGGTGCTCCCGAAACATAAAACCTTCAAATACCCTCATAAACATCATGACACTCTCAGGTGCTCCCGAAGGATAAAACATTCGAATAATCTCATAAAAACCGTGACACACTCATACAGGTGCTACGGAAGGATAAACAGTTTTTTAATGTAACAAATTAATTCACATACTCAAATTCAGCGTTGGTTCACAGGAACATAACCCGTTGACACACTGAACATCGGTTGTATTGTCACAAATTGTGTGTACACAAGGACTAGTATCAGTTCCTTGACATTTCTCACCAAAAGCGTAAGCTGCAAGATATCAATCTTGAATTAATGGCATTTGAAAATTTTGGGTTGTTCCTCTACAACAAATAATAAACACTTTACCGATGAAAATCGATTGCTGACGTGTCGGTAAGGGACGACATCAAAAGTTCAATGTAGGATAAAAAACTTAATTCACCCACCCCCCCCACCCCCCACCCCCACCACCCCTCTTAACTTAATTTGGGAAAAATTGATTGACCAATATGGATATATGTAAAATCGATTTTAGAAAAACAAAACTTGCAGCAATTTTAACCCCCCTCCCCCCAACCCCCAAACTATTTGATTTAAGTTTTCTATCCTACATTGATCTTTTGATGTCGTCCCTAAGGGGTGGACGTGTCAAAGGTTTTAAATGATTATCTCCCCTTGGTTTTAGATATGGTATGAATAAAAATTTGAGTTGACTTTCTTTTATGTATTTCATTAATTGACCACTTCGAAACATTTTTTTAGTTATTTTGCAAAATTTATCAAGACAAAAAATAAGAAACAATTCATTATTTAGTAACACATTTTGTATTTTCCTTATTATTGAGTCATTTCATTCTTTTATTCTAGAAATGGAACAGAAACAATGGATTGCTGGACTGTATTTCTAAATTGTAATGAAATGTAGGAAAAGTGAGAACATGATGTGGTTTATAAGTGTTTCTCGTTTCTCCTTTTTTCTATAGATTAGACGGTTAGTTTTCTTGTTTGAATTGTTTAACACTAGTCATTTTTGGAGGCCCTTTATAGCTTGCTGTTCGCTGTGAGCCAAGGCTCCGTGTTGAAGACCGTATTTTGACCTATAATGGTTACTTTTACAAATTGTGACTTGGATGGAGAGTTGTCTCAATGGCACTCATACCACATCTTCTTATATCTATGATACAAAAAATCAAATATGTTTTAAAACATTTGGCATCCTGTTCAAAATGGTCGCGTAGAAAGAATTATTATGTTCAACTCACCTATGCAACAAGCGACAATAGTTAGAGATAGAAGCTTCATTGTCTTCACTGATCGTTTGATAATTTATTTGGCAAGTGAACAAAGGTCTCAGAGTTTATATATAATACGTTCACTGGTCAGTGGTCAAATGATCTTTGACTGTAAAGGCCACACAGATAAATAATGTATATATAATTCGATCTTAAATTATACAATGTGAGCTTATGTATGTGTCTGCCCCAAGTCAGGAGCAAGTGATACAGTGGTCGTTGATTGCTGCATATCATATTTGTTTTTTTGTTTGTTGTTTTGTACACTTATCAGGCCGTTGGTTTTCTTATTTTTCTTATTTTACTTTTTGTCATGTCAGTGCCTTTTATAGCTGACTATACGGTATGGGTTTTGGTTGAAGGACGTACGGTGACCTTTAATTGCTTACATCTACGTCATTTGGTCTCCAATGGCAATTAAACCACGTCACTTTATTTTTGTATTTTACCGTATTTAAGATCTATAAACTCATTGTACTGCATGTTTTCTCTACTGGATCGATCTCTTTATTTTGTTTGTAATCAAATGTCAGAAAAGAAAAGGGACTCACACAATCCGTCATTTTTTAGTTGTTTAAATAAAATCCAATGACAAATATGTAGTGACGGGGAATGTTGATAAGTGCTTACTCAAAATTAAATGTTTGCAAAAAATGTTAATACGTGTAAACACAAGGCCAGATTAGCAACATAGACAACTAGCACATTTTATTTGTTTGCCCTTTTTTAAATCGCTTATAAAACGTCATAAACAAAATATGCATTTAACTACTCTTAAAGTTTTATATCAGAATTACGTTTGATTGGAATTGAGAATAACAGATTATTCCACACATTTGAAGAAATGAACATACCAAACATACCGCTGGACCAAAGATATGATTTGTAGATTCAGCCAGAATGAAGAACAGCAATAAAACGCTGTTTCCGTCGATATATTGTTCTTATTTGTAGAATTTGTGTCTCCAACGCATATTTTCGTTTACATATAAGAACCATTGTATATTCTTGATAACCTGTCTTCCATTTATTCGAAACAAAATAAAATAACTCAAGCCAGCTTACGTACGTCTTGATACATGTTTCAGTTAATATACGTTACGCTCGTTCATGTTAACACTATTAATCAGCAGAAGTATGTACTGGTATATACTTCCGTTTTCTGTCGAAAACTGTGAGGGTACAGTGGTATCCATGTATCGTGACTCAATAACAGGATTAATTGAGATGTGCCACTAACTTATGTACAACCCACCACTAAGGAAAAATCCGCAACCTAACACCAAGGGAGTGTCAGGACACTGTGAAATCTATTATTATGGTGGAGGAAGGCGAAGTACTCGGAAAGAACCACCAAACAACTTGGCGGGAACAGACTAACCGAAGAAATATCTGTGAAGATTGATCTCCCTATCAAAGTCGGGGGAAGAGTGCACCTTTCACGAACAGAGTTATGAGGAAGAATGACTGAAATTGACCCTACATAAGTTTGACGGTCACCATCCGCATTGGTTGACCGATACGATCTATCGACACATTTTCGCGATTTTAGATCTTTAGTCGACCGATACGATCTATCGACACATTTTCGCGATTTAAGATCTTTAGTTGTCTGATCTGTACCGGTTGTGTCCTATTCACCATTCTGACATTTTGACTGAGTGTGAATTCACATGACGGGTGATGCAAGCATATCAGGAGACGCTTACCTTGTCAACGAGACAGGTCACGATCCTTCTGGAGTTCATGCGAATCCCTCAGTTTTTGTTTGTTACCTTGATTTGTCTCCTCCTAATCAATTTACGAGATTTGAACACCGATAAAATACATTCGCCTTATTTTAATCCGGTGTTGAGATAACTTTTCTGTTTTCTTGGGGTTTTTTTCTTCTTTTTTTTGTTATATTTTTATGTGTTATACCGTTATTTCAGAGTTAAATAATTCCTTTACTTACTTTTATTGCATTATATTTTATTTACGTTTTGTTCCACTGATCAAGATTTCAAAGGAGAAGGTTTGAGACCTTAAAACTATTTTATCCCCGCCTCATATTCATGCGCCTGTCCGAAGTCAGGAATATCTTCCGTTTTTGTCGCATGTCTGTTATATGGAGAATTTGGTGTTGATGGAAGATCTATGATAGTTTTCTGTTTAATTTACTTACAACTTTCAAAGACTCGGCACGATTTAGAGTCGACATATTGTGTACAAGCCTGTATATTGTTCTACAGTATATCATTCCCTTTAGATGACTTTTGGTCATTTTTTTCGTTGGTAGCTTTTTTAAATCTTCAGTCCAATCTCTTAAGTAAATAGTCAAAACGTAAGTTAGAAATCACATTAAGGGGAACTTCATACCTCTGCAGTACATGTATATCGAATATCCTTACCAAAAAAAAAGACACGGTATGATAAATAAATTGTTAGGAAATGTTAGGAAAAATGTTGTTTAATGTTTGTATTGTAAAATCTTTTATTTTGATATATGGTTATATATTAATATTTAAATTGGTGTATATACATGTAGTGTGTGTAATTATATTTTTTTGTAAATTACGCTGCTGTTAAGTCTTCTGTGTTCGATTTTTTTTTCTCTCATATACTGTGAGAATATGAAACGTTTCACTGCATGTTAAACATTTGGCCTTTAACTGACTAACATGATATCTGGTCATGGATTGTCCGAAATGAACAAAATGACCTTTATTTCTTATCTTGTAGAGAACTAGTTTTAGATTCAACATAACACTCGACATTCGGCGACAATTTACTAATTTCACAAATAAACTCGTTAAAAAGAATTAAAAAAAAAGACAACCGTCCAAACAAACACAAATAGCGAAAAAATGGAAAAGGAAAAACACGAAATAAGAAGGAAATAAAGAAACGAAAAGAACAGAAACGAAATGAAATGAAACGAAACGAAACGAACTGATCGTTTGACTATAGAAACCACAGCCGTTTTACTATTGATTACAAAATAATACTAGCTAACACTGCTGCGATATTTAATATTACACAGTTATTTTTGTTTCTTTTCTTCTTCTTTTTTTTTTCCTTTATTTGTATTTATGTTATACTGTTACACCACTGTCCCAAGTTAGGGAGAGTTGAGCGCTCGCAATCGTGTTTAACCCCGGCACATTCTTTATGTGCCTGTACCAAGTCAGGGGCCTGTAGTACAGTGGTGGTCGTTGATTCATGTCTGTTATATTTGTTTTGTTATAAATTAGGCCGTTAGTTTTCTCGTTTGAATGGTTCACATTTTTCGTGTCGGGACCTTCTATAACCGACTATACGGTATGGTTTTTCTCATTGTTGAAGGCCGTAAGGTTGCCTATAATTGCTTACATCCACTTCATTTGAACTCTGATGGATAGTTGTCTCAATGACAATCATACCACATACCCTTATTTTTTTTATTAACGGCCATTCGAGAGCAGCCAATCAATAAACAATAACCTAGAATAAACAATTAAAAAGGTTAAAGTACAGCCTTGAACAATGCTTAGGCTTCAACATCATTGTAAATGCTCTTATATGCCTCAACTCTGCATTTAAGCAAACATTTTATTTAACAAAACTTTATAACATACAAAAGAAAAAAAACACAGCACTAAGGTAATATGTGGATGTATGTATTTTCGTTGGATTTTTGTTATTTTTGTGTATGGATTTTGTGTGTAATAGCCAACCATAGAATTTTATCTCTTTTTGGTACACTGAGTTTAAAAATACCATATACCAATCAGTATATAATTGTAGACAACGTACCAAATATTATAAATTTAGTTCGTAATTCGCCGTTTTAAAATCCAAAGGACTGTGTGGGTTATTAATTATGAGTATCCAAAAATGAAAATAGCGTCACGTCATTGAATGCTTTATTCTGAAAAGGGGAGTTTGATTGACAGATGCACTGTCCAGCAAAATTACATGGAAACAAAAAATAGTTTTATCTTACCGTGGCTACAAGTAACCAAATACATGTATGCCATCCAATTGTTCTGGTCTTTAATCTGATAATGAATAATTATTGGTATTTGAAAACGCTTGGTAACATGAAAGATTGACAAACAAGGATTTCGGCAAGTTTTATGTGGAGCATTTTGCAGATAACAAATGACTGGGATTTATGTACAAAACAATAAATGAAAAACAAATATGACATACAGCAAGAAACGACAACCACTGAAATACAGACTCCTAAATTGGGACATGAACATACAGAATGCGGCGGGGTTAAACAAAACCCTCCTTCTAACCTTGGATAGTAGTGTAACGGTACAAAATAAGACACGTTTACAAAGAAGGGGCTATCCAAATTCTCTGATGTGACAATTGAAGGAAAATGATAATCCACAAGTCTAAATGCATCGTAAACGGTAAATCTCTGATCATTTATGACAACTTATATCCAGGCAATTGAAATAAATGCAGATATATAAGACTTAGTTTAAGCTAAGGCCATTGGTAAGAAATATTTCTCGATACAAAGTTTGGCCATGCGGGAATAATAACTGAAGAATATTTTTATTATGACCGAAATCATTGTCAACCACGTTGCCTATTGCAGAACTTTCATCCATAAAACAGAATCAACAATATCGATTCCGCAAACGATTTTTTTGTTTGTTAAACTCGCATTAGGTCATTTTGAATAGACTTGGTTCTGCTAACAAGGACTAAAAAATTGGTCTTATATTTCATTTTTATTAAAGACGGATTGATGCCATATACTACTGCTTAAATCACATTATCTACTCGTATCCTATAACAGATATTTACATATAAATAAACTGTTCTGATCATATTGTAAGCTCCCATTATTCTATCATATAAATTCACTTTTCCAATAACCCGAATAATTCAGTCCCTCTCCGTTATCGACTCTCCAACTTGTAAATGTAGCCATCGTAGAGCAGCGGAATATAACGACTGTATTATTCGGGTTACATTTACCTTTATCGATGAATGCTAGTTTAAGTATTACGTATGTAATGTTCTTTCATATTATGGAAGTATTCTGCATTTTTTTTAAAACAACAGCAAACATAGAATGTTCGTGCATTTTTACTATCTGTAACGCTGTTTCATTTCATATTTATTAAAAAAATGTCTCAAAGCACTTCCAACATGGTGTACCCTATTATGAATTGGCACGTGACAAGATCATTTTCTTCCTTTTAATTTACCTAGCATAACTTCATTTAAAATATCGTATAAAGCAGGTTCATGTGCCTTTGTTTGCATATAAGGATCAGCCATGTTTAAGAAACCACCATATGCTATAATGTCAGCTGCAGGTGTAGTGGAAAAGGGAGACAACCAACCCAACGCAGATTGTATAAATGTTTGTGGAGTTATTATTGGTGTGAATTGCGTTGTTGGTGGCTTTAAAGTTGTTGGTCGAATCGTTGTTGTTTTTATGGTAGTCGGTTTGGCCGTTGTAGTTGTTATGGTAGTCGGTTTGGCCGTTGTAGTTGTTATGGTAGTAGGTTTGACAGTTACAGTAGTCGCTGTAGTAGTTGTTATGGTATTAGGTTTTACTGTTGATGTTTTTGAATTAGTCAAAATCATGGTTGCGTTCTGTGCAATTGTTGTAGTAGTCGGATCAACCTCGGTACTAGTGGTAGACATCCCTTCCTCAGCTTCAAAATCCATCTCGCTTAAGTCTATTGGAGTTGTCGTTTCTTCCTGTTCAACAGTAGTAGGTGCTGCAGGTTTTATGGTAGTAGATGTTGCAGGTTTTATCGTAGCAGCTGATGCAGGTGTTAGGGTAGTAAGTTTAATTGTATATACCGAATTCATAGCCGGAGTTGGACCAGGTCCATCTAGGCTTGTACCATTCGGGAGTTCTATTTCTTCCGGTATATCGGTGGTGTTAAGTCTATCTGATATTTCTAACTTTCGCAAGGTTTCGTTGGTGGGATGAAGCAATGCCAATCTGTGAAGGGGTTCAGTCCCAGTTATGACTGTTGAATTACTTGTCCCGCTTTCTATCCATGGTGTCTCTGTACTCGCTGCCGCTCTTAAATTGATTATTCTTACCCCGCCCCTTCCGTCTGGAATTAATCGAATACCTTTTGATGTTTCGTTTAGTCTAATCACTAGATTGTCTTTTGTCGTAACAGTCGTAGGTAATACAGTCGACTCTCCCTGCATAACTGAACTATTTGCCTGGGTAACTCCTGTCTCGACGGGAGAAAGACTAGAGTTACCCGAAACCTCTAAAGGGAGATTATTGGCTAGGTTGAGCTGTTGATCTTGTTGCTGTCTCTGTAAGGGCAAATCGAACCCTTGTGATGTTATGTTGATTGTGCTTAACGGACTGACAGTCGTAGGCAACGTAATTGGGGGAGCTATTTCTATTTCCCCTGCTGCCATTGGCGGAATTGGATTTAGAGTGGGTAGTATCAATGTTCCTAGTCCTTGTTTACCGAGAATTTGTGCTAAAAGTTGTTGACTAACCAATGCTTCCAAATGATTTGGTTGGTTTGTAGATACGGTCTGTGTTTGCTGATTTAATGATTGCATTTGCTGGTTTGGAGATACGGCTTGTGTTTGTTTGTTCGATGGTTGAATTTGCTGTTTTGGCGATACGGCCTGTGTTTGTTGATTTACTTGTTGTATTTGTTGGTTTAATGCTTGCATTAAATTTTGTTGGTTGACTGGTTGTATTTGCTGGTTTTTAGACATGACCTGTGTTTGCTGGTTCGATGTTTGCATTTGCTGGTTTGTAGATACGGTCTGTGTTTGTTGATTTACTGGTTGTATTTGCTGGTTTACTTGTTGCATTTGCTGGTTTACTGGTTGCATTTGCTGGTTTACTGGTTTCATTTGCTGGTTTATTGGTTGCATTTGCTGGTTTGTGAGTACGGCCTGTGTTTGTTGATTTACTGGTTGTATTTGCTGGTTTACTTGTTGCATTTGCTGGTTTACTGGTTGCATTTGCTGGTTTACTGGTTGTATTTGCTGGTTTAATGATTGCATTTGCTGGTTTAATTGTTGCGTTTGCTGGTTTGTGGACACAGCCTGTGTTTGCTGGTTCGATGGTTGCATTTGCTGGTTTACAGGTTGCACTTGCTGGTTTGTAGATACAGCCTGTGTTTGTTGAATTAATGGTTGAAGTAGCTGGTTTGTATTAACCGTCTGTTTTTGTTGGTTCGCAATATTGGAAACCTGTTGTGGTCCTTGATTCAACAGGTTAGAAAGTTGAAGATTACCGGTTAATCCAAGCTGTTTAAGTAAATTAATGGTTACTTGATTTCCTTGAATAGGCGCTACCGGTGGCGTTTGTTGTAGAGGTTGTTGTTTGGTTACAGTATTAGAGACCAGATTTGTCCCCTGATTTAATTGATTAAGATTATTGCCGTTTAATCCGAGCTGATTAAGCAAATTATTTGTTACTGGGTTGACTTGGAAAGTCCCAGTATTTCCAATCAGATTATTATTTGCTGGAATTAGACTGTTTGTTTTAGATTGCTGTTGTCCTTGGTTACTTGCGGTCATACTTGTCATTGAAGATGAACCTTGTATGCCAAGTAAGGCTTGTAAGATTGAATTGCTTTGAGATTGAGGATTTTGAGGAAGTTGACGAACAACTTGTTGATTATTTGTAACAGTTTGTCCACTAGTTTGTTGTTGTTGTTGTTGTTGTTGTTGTTGTAAAGGTTGAACATTGTTTTTGCTATTCAGTCCAAAAAGTATATTATTTTGCTCAATGATCTTTTGTTGTTGTTGTTGCTGCTGTTTTCGTTTTTGTTCTTGTTGCTTTTGTTGCAGTTGTTGTTGCAGTTGTTGTTGTAGCTGTTGTTGCTGCAGTTGTTGTTGCAGTTGTTGCTGCAGTTGCTGTTGTTGCAGTTGCTGCATTTGCTGTTGCTGCAGTTGTTGCAATGGTTGTTGCATTACCTGTTGTTGCAATGGTGGTTGTATAAGTTGTTGTTGCAACGGTTGTTGTATTAGTTGTTGCTGCAAAGGCTGTTGTGTTTGTTGTTGGTTTTGTTGTAAAAGTTGTTGAATTAAGGACTGAGTGTTTTGTTGACTGTTCTGTTGTTGAATTTGTTTCACACTCATTTGTTGATTTGACAAAATGTTAGGTTGTAGTACATTCTGACCAATTACTTGATTATTAGAAAGCGACTGTCCTCTGTTTGGTAGTTGATTCGTATTTTGTTGCATGTTAAGAGTTTTACGTGGTACAGAATTAAGATTATTGCTGCCACTTTGTCCGTCGTTAAGTTGTACAAGTAATTGTTGCAAAAGGGATGTAAGTAACGTTGTCTGTTGGTTTTGGACTTGGTTTTGATTATTAGCCTGTTGATTTTGTTGTTGTTTCAATTGTCCCTGCTGAAATTGGTTATTGTTCAGGATTGTGTTTTGACCCTGAATCTGATTCAGGTTCTGCAAATTTAGACCTGTTTCCATTTGCATGACACTATTTTGTTGAATCTGTCCTGGACTAATAATATTATTTGTTTGACCTTGATTTAGAGCTTGACTCAAACGATTTTGAGTCATTGATGCTGACTGAGTTTGTCCTTGAGGTGCATTTATAGGTGAAGCAATATTCATGTTATTCTGTATTTGACCATTTATCAGTGCTGTTGTTAATGCATTACTTTGACTTTGTAATTGCTGCTGTTGCATTCCGGGAAATTTTTTTTGGTTCTGTTGTAACACCATCTGGTTAACAGGTGTTTTCTGCACCATTGATCCTTGATTTTGTTGATTAAACATCTGGTTCATATTTGGCATGTTTCCCTGTAAATTTACACCCTGGTTGAAAGTTTGTCCTTGACCGCCTGTGGTTTGTTGTGGCATGTTATTTACCACGTTTTGACCTTGAAGTAAATTATTTCTATTGTTCGTCATCATTCCTTGCATTTGCATGTTACTTGTCATTGTATTTTGACCTGTCGACAGTTGACCTTGTCGTACACCTTGATTACCTTGACCTTGATTGTTTGTCATTACACTTTGAGATGCCATTAACTGATTATCATTATTAGATAGCATTCCTCTATTAGAATTAAGAGTCTGATCTTGCGTTATTCTGTTCAGTGAATTTGGATTTTTTGGAGATGACATTGATGATGTTGATGAGGGTGCAGCTGATTGTTTTCCTCCAGATAACAAAAAAGTCGGTTCTGGAGCAAATCGGTCCATAAAATTTCCAGATTGTGTCCATGGATCACTTTGTTGATTTTGATTACTTAATCCAAATCCACTTGTAAAGTCAGGTAGTCGATTCCTATTATTGTCAAATCGAGGCTCTACGTTATCAATAAACGGTCTTGCATTTCTATTATCAACTGGAAAGGGGTCTCTAAGATCTATAAGTGGGTCTGGTGTCCTAGAATTTAAACTGTTCATTGTCTTTCTCGGTCGCCTTTCACTTAATTCTTGGCGCCGGTCGAAACTTTGTTTTCTTCTTTGCCTTTCGGGCTCCTTTGTCTTTCCTCGATTGCCAAAACTCGCACCAATTCCAACACTTAAATTAGGCATATTCGATCGAAGATCTTGAATGAACTGATTTATTGGCGAAGGCAATATATTTCCAATAGAACCCAAACCATCCATTGTCTTATCAACATCTCTTTTTGGAACTGGGCGCGTGGCCTGCCGTTCAGCTGCCGAAATACTGTTTCGAATACTACTACGCCGGGAATCGCTTTGTGTTGATCGTGTTGATCCTGTTGTATCCTGTCTTGCATTCTGGAAAATAAGTAAAATAAAGAAATAAAGTTTATTGGCACATAATTACACTTATTCTTAGGGAAACTCCATATTCCATCTTTCAAAACATTGCAAAGCAGCTCGATAAAGGTCTGTATATTAAACACATTTTTGCATGTCATATCAAAATCCAGTCTACTTTAAGAAAAAGTTATAACTCTGATTTCATCAATGGTTAAGTATATAGTATGTCTATATTATCACACCCTTAGTATTGCTGGTTATCATTACGGTAGGTACACTACTCCATTCTCAACGAATATTCATGTTCCGCCTATAAACTCAAATCGAGGCTAAGGTCAGTAAGTGGAACAACAATGGACGCCGAGAAGACATCAAAAGGGCGCAATCACTGTTGTGTTCCCAACTAATAATCAAAACAATTGATTTTCCTATCTTGTAAATCAAATGTTTATCTGTGTTACTTGTTGCATCTGTCGTAACGATGGCCGATAATAGAGTTTGATTATACAATTCATTGAATGAAGAGTTTGATGAAACATTCTTCTGTATGGGGATGTGGATGGGGGTACTTCATTTCTTTATTCTAAAATTTTTTTGGGCCATTTTTCTCAGTTCTTTTTTTATTTTGGCCACTGTTCTCCCCTTTTTTTCAGCCCATTTTTCTGTTTTCTTTATCTATTTGGTCAGTTTTTCTCGATTCTTTATTTTTTGCCCATATTTTTTTGTTTTTTGTAGTCATTACCAATTATTCTCTATTCTGTAAACCCCATCCAGACCTATTGGGTATTATGCATTTTGATACTTAAGAGCTTCAGATTTTGAACTTCCCTTTGTTTATAATTTAGACGATTCCCGAACATACACAATAATTCGTCGTTTCAGAATATAAAAGACAATGGGTAATTTCGTTGCTCATACCCCAAAATGAAACGAAAGTCTTGTCATTGATTATGACGTTAATAGCCACTGAAACCAAGTCTTGGTGTACGCTTTTGAAAATATTACCAACAATGCATCAGATTCTGAAACGGAGAATTAGAAATCCCCTACAGAACACAATGAGTATATGTATGCAAACAATTCATTAAGAAGTCGAAGTACACGTGTTAATTTTGTGTGTGTGCGTACATATTCCTACTTTTAATAGTTGTCATCAATATATATTCCGTGTATCAACAAACGAAATATTGATTGATTGATTGGTGTTTAACGCCACTTTCAACACTATTGTGCTATTTCGTGGCGTTCAGTTTGTATTAGTGGAGGAAGCCGGGGTGCCCTAAGGAAAACTGACAATCCTAGTCAATTAAGATTAGAGTCGTGCCGCCTGCCATGTGGGGATTTCGAACTCGCAACCTCAGTGTTGACAGGCTAGTGACACAGTAGTTCGACTACTTAAACCACACGAACACCGATGTCCCAAAATGAAATAAAAGACAACAATAGTCCTGTGCAATGTGAAACGAGGCCAGGTATCTATGGTAACACATATTTAATGTCATAATTATAGTTACTATTTGATTGACAACTAAATATCATTTCTGCCATATTCATGTGTTTTCAGGTTTATTGATCTCTCTATCATATTTTTGTATGATAGTGCGCCCGGAATATATTTATTTTTTCTTGTCTGTGTGTTGGTTTGTTTTTTTTTTCCTTTTTTCCACTATGTTCATTAATGTTCATTAAGAATGATTTCTCTTATAAGCAGGCATTTTCTTATATCGCTGAAAGTTTTTCCGATCTATTTTTTTTTCTTAATTCTGAATTGTATTCACATTTGATTTTTTTTTCATAATTTGTGTTTAATACTAACCATGTATTCGAAAATATTAATTTACAAATCTGCAGGGAAATAATTCAATACCATATAAGTCCCCTATATTAAATATTAGAAGTACATCCCTTTAATTATTTTACCAAACATTGTTTACTTCATTATGGGTTAAATGAATTACTGATGCTGCTTGAGGAAGTTGTCAGAATGGCCAATTGTCCTGAGTATGCATGAAATATTTGCCGCTGAATGTTAAGCTAGCAACAATAATTAAGAAATGTCACATCAACTGCAGAAGTTCACAGAATATTATATAAAATTGAGAATGGAAATGGGGAATGTGTCAAAGAGACAACAACCTGACCAAAGAGCAGAAAACAGCCGAAGGCCACGAATGGGTCTTCAACAAAAATCCCGCACCCGGAGGCGTGCTTCAGCTGGCCCATAAACAAAAATGTGAACTAGTTCAGTGAAAATGGACGTCATACTAAACTGTCTTGATTACAAACTATATCAGTTCACAGAATGATATTTTGAATCTGCAGCTACAGTATACTCTGCATCTGAATAAAGGGAGACGGGA